AAAGAAGAAGAAAAAGCAAAGTCGTTTGCCCTATTATCCTCACTTACTGATGATTAACAGTGCTGATCATTGTAGTATATTTATTAACAATTATACATTATCACAGAATCACAGTGATAATGTACAATTGTTAATAAATATACTACAATGATATATTATATCAAGGTTCTGACAGTGTTTTCGGGATAGTGTATCCATAGACTTTTTTACTGTTGTAAACAGTAAAAGAACAAAAGAACTTCTGCTCTTGTTGTCCTAACTTGTTGACAAATGATGATAAGCTGGGAATATTTATGGATTTATTAGTGAAATGATCAACTCATACTCAGGTGTGGAAGAGGAGAAATATAGAGAAGAAATACTGAAAAATTGAATATTCTGTGTGCATTGGAAGGAATCTTCTCTAGTCCTACTTATTACATTTAGAACCACCTCCGTTGAGAAGAGGAGCATGTGCTTTACATTAGCACGTACTTAAGTTAACAATGTGCTTAATGCTATCCTGAATAGAGACGTTGTGTTGAATGGCTGCTATAAAGAAGAAAGGAAACCTTGGCATTTGCACTGCAAAAATAAATCTCAGGCTTTCGTTTCTAGAGACATTTGCACTGCAAAAATAAATCTCAGGCTTTCAATAGTCAATAAGTAGTCAATAAGTCAATAAGTCAATAAGTCAATAAGTAGTCAATAAGTAAAGATATACGTAGGGCTGAACTGTGTCATGCCAAAATCTGTCTAGCCAGTATCCTAGTGACAATGGGTGACAGCAGATGCTTAGGAAAAGCGTGTGAGAGCAGAGCAGACACAGATCTGTCCAATAAACATGCACAGTAAACCCTCCCAATGTGTGGCAGTCAGTTTGTGCTGTAGGACCTCCCTGAAAGATGACTATATCCTCAACTTCGTGCTCAGTAGCCCCTAATGGATCTCATTAAGTTCACCCAAATCTCCTCACTTGCTTATACAGTCCTGGAATCTTTCCCCACCATCCCTCCTATCCCTCACAACCTTCCTTTATCATTCCATCACTCCTAAAATAATCTGCTCACCTAGAAAATTCTGCTGTCATCAATATATTTAATTCTGGTGGTCTAAGAACGAGGACAAAAAGGCTATATACTAATTAACTAAACAGTGCCAGACCACTAATTAACAATACTAGAGCACCAATTAAATAAATGGTGCTAGAGCACCAACTCAGACATTGTCTTTCTCTTTCTGTACAGCTAAATGTTAGCACAGTCTACCATAGCACTGGTTTACTCCAGCCCATGCTCCCCAAAGCACGGGCTAGAAAGTTAGTGTGGACAAGAGACCCTGCTCCATAGGCATCGAGGATGAGACCTCTCTGGTTGAGAGTATAAATGAGTTTTGCCATATGGACACAAGCAGGGCCACTTGAGGAGGCCTTGTAGTGGGACAGGAGTCCTGTTTTGTTGACTTGTAAAGACTCAGAGTGCAGAAGTTCTCTTTTGCCTCCACTTGTGAGAAACGCTGAGATGACTCTAGCTTGAGATGGTCTTTCAGAGAGGAGAAGTCCTGGACTCCAGTTCCTGGACTGTGCATGTTCTGAACCAGCTTTTGTAGCCCCTGGAGGATTATGGGCCTCTGAGATTTAGCAGTAGGTGAGATGTTGTGTTTTGGATGGCAGCTCTAGATTTCTCAAGCCAAGCTCCACAATGGGAGCTCAGTGGTAACGCTGCAATACCAAAAACTAATCAGCTTTTCTATTGCCATTAATGCCAATCTCCATGTTTTTCTTTTCCTTTCCTTACAATTTAAGTTCTTATTCATAAATTCAGGTTTTTTCACCCTGGCAAGTGCTTGTACATGGAGCAGCTTCCCAGTCCCAGTGGCTGAACTCCCCTCTCTCCATTCACACACGTCCCATAGGCTCACCTCTCCCACAAACCACATATGTGGAACCCAGAGCAAAATGCAGACAGTCCCTCAGGAGCTCTATGCCTAAACAATGTCTGAAGTGGAGGAATTCTGAAAACAGCTGCAATTCATCATCCTCAGTGTTATTTATTTCTCCTTTGGGGCATTACAACACAGCCCAACATCAAAGCTGCAAAGCGAGTATGATACCGTGCACGTTGCTGTAGAGTACAGATGATGGACAAACAATTACTCAAGTTAAATGGCACGTTGTCGAAAAGGAGAATAAACAAACAATGATGTTCTTCAACAAATTGTGTGTAAGGAACACATAAAGACTTTGGCAAAATAAATTAGCAATAGAAATATGAGTGAGTTTGCCAGGTCTAACAAGGATGATGAATGTAGTGAAAGTGAGGGAAGAGACTGTTTGGCCAGGAGGCCACTTTCTGACCTCCTAGCCAAAACTAACTGGAAGCTAAAAATGATCTATGATGTAAGAGGGAAAAAGCGTTCAACGACTTTAAAGAAGGTCTCAGTGCTGAAATATCACACTGAACTTTTTATGGCTTCCAGTAAAATAGAAAGGATTTGTTAAAGAGGACTGATGGGATGATATGGAAAAGGCCCTGGTCCTACTGTACCCATGCCATGGACAGTGGACCCCATTAGCACACCTGAGTGGATAAGCCTTGCTGTCTTCTCCAGTTCATTTCCTTAACTCTTCCTTTTTTACTTGACAGGTGGTTTCTGGCTGCAGTTGAAGCTGAAAGTGAGTATTACTGCCCACCCATTGACAGCCTGTGTGTCCCAAGGGGATTTCCCTTGATCATGGAAACAAGTCTGGGTTTTCACCAGCCACAGGCATTTCTTGTTTTCCTTTTCACTAGATATGCAGAGCAGGGCTGTATTTTACACTTAACTGAAGAACCTGTGCATCTGCTATGCTCCCAGACAGATGCCTTAAACCATTAAACGGATATAAATCATCATGCTCCACAAGCATAAAGCAGTTAGGGGACTGCGGTGGGTGGGCATACTCTTTCCCCTCAAAGAAGTTATCCATTACAAAAGCTTCTACATTTTCTTCTGAAGTGCTCTATCAGGGCCACTGTGAAAGATGGGACGTGGGTCTTGGCAATATTGCCTGGTGCCTTCCCTACCTACTGCCTGTCCCAAGCCTCTGGAAAGAATGTGGAGAAGAGGAGCCCCGTCCAACTTGACCTTGAATGTTTCCTGGGATGGGGCATCTACCATCTCTCTGGGCAACCTGGGCCAGTATTTCACCACAATTATGGGAGGTGGTTGGGACTGTGGAGTCCTGGTGGACACCAAGTAGAACATGGGCCAGCAGTGTGCCCTTGCTGGCTGGGACTGTGGAGTCCTGGTGGACACCAAGTTTTACATGGGCCAGCAGTGTGCCCTTGCTGCAAAAGCGGCAAATGGTATCCTGGGCTGCATCAAAGGCAGCAAATGGTATCCTGGGCTGCATCAGGCAAAGTATTACCAGCAGGTCGAGGGAGGTGATCATTCCCTTCTACTCAGCACTGGTGGGGCCACATCTGGAACACTGGGTCAGTTCTGGGCTCACCAGTACAAGAGACACATGGACATACTGGAGAAAGGCCAGCAAAAGGACACAAAGGTGGTGAAGGAAGTTGAGCACCTTCTCCCATGAGGGAGGCTGACAGAGCTGGGACTGTTCAGCCTGGAGAAGAGAAGGCTCAGGTGGGATCTCATCAATCTATATAAATACCTGAAGGGAGGGTGCACACCTTCTCCCATGAGGAAAGGCTGACAGAGCTGGGACTGTTCAGCCTGGAGAAGAGAATGCTCAGGTGGGATTTTGTCAATCTATAGAAATACCTGAAGGGAGGGTGCACAGAGTCCAACAATGCATCTCCTCGAGTAGGGCTGTTAAGTTCTTGTCTCAAGTTGTCACCTAGGCACTCTGAGAGCTTCCTGGATTGCCTGCAGCCAGCTGTGTTGCTTTTCCAACAGATGTTGGAACTCGAGTAGGGCTGTTAATTTCTTGTCTCAAGAAGTTGTCACCTAGGCACTATAAGAGCTTCCTAGATTGCCTGCAGCCAGCTGTGTTGCTTTTCCAACAGATGTTGGAATGGTTAAAATCCCCCAGCAGGATGAGAGCCTGTGATCGCGATGCCTCCTCAAGCTGGAGTAAGAAGGCATCCTCCTCCTCTCCTGCTGCTGAGAGCCAGCACTTTGGGATAGGGAGAGGAAAACTCCCTCAGCAGGGAGGAGGATGTAGAAAATGATCCTAAAAAAGGACCAGTGTGTCCAACCAAGGTCAGTCTGACATGTCCAACCAAGGTTGAACCACTCTCAGTGGTTACGCTTCTCCCTGTTTGCGGTTGCTCTTTTTATCTTGTTGACAAAAAGCAGTTCCCATTACATGGAGAAGCAGAGAGCTGCCCTGATGGATAAGGGAATACAACACGTGCCTCAGCAATTAGTACTCTGAAGCGTTGGCTTCTTCAGCCTTGGTTTGAACTCTTTTGGTTTTGACTTGATCTGAGAGCACTCCAAATTTATTGGGGTTTTTTTCTTCTTCAGGGCCCTGTGGGAACTCTGCAGCCCGGAGATGTTTGTGTAACCTTGGGCTCTACCTTGAACAGGCTGCTGTTCCCCCTTTTTTTCCACACAGAGAATTGTAGCCCTCTGCTGTCCTCTCTCCAGCAGTTGCCTGTCCTTCTTGAACTGGGGAGCCCAGAACTGGACACAGTACTCCAGATGGGGCCTGAATTATGAATTTGCCACATTCATAAGCCCATTTCGCTACAGTCTGTTGAAAATCCTCCGGTGGAAGGTGCTTTAGAAGTGATTACATTGGTGGAAGGTCTCAGTGATGCAGTGATCCAATTTAAGCATTGGAATGGGCTGCCCAGGGAAGGGGTTGAGGCACCATCCCTGGAGACATTTAAAAGACGGGTTGACATAGTGCTTAGTGACATGGCTTAGTGATGTTTTTTTATCAGGTTGATGATTGGACTAGATGATCTTAAAGGTCCCTTCCAACCTAGACAATTCCATGATTCTATGATTTTAAGGTAGCAGTAGGCAGTAGTTTTTACACTAATTATTCTGTGATTTGTTTTCAGGCCACCAGGAGCAACCTACCGAGTGGCTCTGGGTGAGCACGATCTCTTGGAGGTGGATGGCACCGAGTACTATATTGGTGTGGACAGAATCTTCATTCATAATGGCTGGAATCCCAATGACATCGCCAATGGGTAATTATTTTGAATATCGTCAGGTGGTTGAATGGTATTTAGCACCCTGTCCCATTAGTGTTTTTGTGTATGTTCAGTCCAGTTCCCAGTGAGGCTGGATTTGTGGGAAGCACTGGAAGATGACACAATGGAGATTTCCCAAATGACCTCCTCTTTTGGAGGAGTTACACAGTGTCTATGTGGATGACCTTAGTCCTTAGTTTTGCCCAAGATGGGGGAAAGATGGGTCTCACAGAGGGATCCAGGATGCAGAGCAGAGTCAAGGACTTTTCTAGCAGCCATACCACTGTTTGCATCTGATGAAGGGAAGCCCTTGGGGAAATGCAGAGAGACTATCTTAAATCCCTCCCCAGAGACATGTCTGTCCACCCGGGGTCCACTGAAGTTTACTCTGAGGTTGGGTACTTCCAAAGGAGCAGGAGTTTTTTGGGGGAGTGTGAGTCCTTTATCAGTCTGTATCACGGCCTCTTCGCTCTTAATTGCTCATATTTTCCTGTGATAACTATAAAGAGTAGTGGATGGTGTTTGCAAGGTGCTTGGCTGTCACCATGCCAGAGGCTAGAGACCTGAGCGAGTGATGAGATAGGAGTGAGGACGTCAGATCTGACTTACAGCCAATTCAGGACTTGCAGTAAAGAGTCTTCTCCCTGTATCCCGTTTCAGCTATGACATTGCCCTGCTGCGCCTCGATTCTCCTGCCTATGACAATGGGTTCGTTGAGCTGGGAATGCTTCCATCTGAAGGAGATGTTTTGCCCAATAACTATCCCTGCTACATTACCGGATGGGGGGTGGTTAGTGGTGAGTGAGGGGGGAAGGAGGACTGTCGAAGGTCCCTCCTCATTTCAGAGGGACCACCGTGCAGGGGAGGCTGCCCGAGGCAGGGTATGGGCTTCCTTCTTCAACTGCTGGAGCTGCTGGTCCAAAATCTCACCCTTTCTCTGTTAGTGGGTGGCGGCAGCGCAGTCAAACTGCAGGAGGTGATGCTGCCGGTGGTCGACCATGAGATCTGCTCCCAGAACGACTGGTGGGGCTCACAAGTAAAAGCCACCATGATCTGCGCAGGTGGAGATGGCGTGAGGTCCGGATGCAGTGTAAGACCTGTTATTCTCAGAGGATTTTCAGGCTCCCCTCTTGCTCTTTCCTTCTTATCTGATCTTGCTGTTCCCTCAGCTGGGACCCGTTTTTGCCATTTCTCCACCTGCAATAGCTCTGCTTGCACAGACAGCTGAGGTTTCTGCAAGTTTTGACTATGTCCAACTGGCACCATCTGGCCCAGGTGAGGTGGAAAAGGAAGATGCTGTGAGGTTCCCTTTATCCCAAGGGCTCCAGGTGACCCCAGCATCAAGACAAGGGGGTCTGGGGGGAAAACCTGTTATCTCTGCCTGTATTCCCTTCACTACAGAGGTGGCTTCTGGTGAAAGCAACCGTGCAGAGCCCTTGAAAAATAGAGGACAAATACATAATATATTTTATTATGTAAATATATGAATATAATATAGAAACACATAGAAATATGAATAATATAGAAATATATAGAAATAAAACAGATTATACAATTATACATGGTACTACTAGAGATATAGTAAATCATAGGTCTCTAGATATTTAGTGTATTTTTTGGTGTGGTTTAATTATGGCAGAACCTTGTTACGAACCAAGTTCTGAGCCAAGCAGGAGCCTTTATCTTTTCAGACATTGTAACTCAAGTGGCTTTCTTTTTCACCACTTTAGCTTCCTGGGACCCTTTGAATATACTTATTTGCAAAGAAGAAGGGGAGCAGCGTTTCCCTTCTGCCTGGTTCCTTGTAGCTGGAGAGCGCACTGATTTATTGGCAGAGATGCTGCCCAGGTGGACCTTAGGATTGCATGTGGTGCAACGTGCCCTGGACCATTGCAGTCACTGTATCTGCAGTGGGGGGTGGGAATTTAGGGTTTCAGTCCTTCCTGGGGTGGGTGTGTGTATATATTTGTGTTTGTGTTCATATAGACTGGGATAATAAACAGTGGGTCTGATCTTTGCAGCATCTCCGGAGGTATTGGGTGGTCTCTGCTCCCGTGCTGCTGTGGAGCAATCAGCCTTTTGCAAAGAAAACAGCACCATTTTTTATTTTGATGTTCAGGACAGTGATTAACTAATTGGTGCTCCTTAATCCTGTCCAGTCGTTCCTCGATGGCTCAGATAATTTGGCTTAATATGTTCCTCTCCTTCCTCTGATCCAGGGGGACTCTGGGGGCCCTCTCAACTGCTACACAAACAACCGCTGGCAAGTCCACGGGATTGTGAGTTATGGGCTGGTTCCTTACTGTAACACCTACAAGAAGCCAACAGTCTTCACACGTGTGTCAGCCTACGTGGACTGGATCTACAGCGTAAGTTGCTTGGTGCCTGCGAGTGTTCAAGGCCAGGCTGGATGGGGCTTTGAGCAACCTGGTCTAGTGGGAGATGTCCAGGGGGGTTGGAATTAGATGATCTTTAAGTTCCTTTCCAACCCAAACCATTCTATCATTCTTTGAGGGCAAGGGAGTGCCAGAGGAATTGAATCCTCTCATTTATTAAACCATTAGGAGTAGAACTGGGTCATCTGAGGAGGTCTAAAGTCAGGATATTTGGTGCTACTTTTGGTGTAGTCAACCAACTGCAGGGAAGGAGCTGCTCCCTGGGAGCTGGAATGCTCCTGGGGACCACAGAAAAAATTCAAGCCGGGCAGGAGCTGGGCTCTGTGTCCAAAAAATGACCCTCTCCATTCACCCAGACAAAACCTTACTGCAGGAAACCGCTGAAGGAATGAGCTGGCTGGTGGATGGGAAATGCAGGAAACATAAAGTATCTCTACAAGTCCTGCAGTGCCCCACCATACGCTCTCAGCCTTGCACCTGGGAGTGAGCAACGAGCTCTTTGCTCCCTGAAATCACCTTTGGGGCAAGGAGCAGCCATTTCCCAGGCACAGGGGGGTGGTTTTGTGGAAATGCCGCTGTAAACCATGGTCTTGCTGGAAAGAAAAGTGGGGAGAGGTGTTTTAAATCCCTGCAAGGAAGAGGGAGGCTTCTGTTGGCCATAAACCTTCCTTTCGGGGTGGGAAGAGGTTGTTAGAGCAGTCCTTTGGCTCAGCTGGGAATGAGCCCTTCCTCCAAGCACTTTGGTGGGATGGAGACATGTGTTACTCTGTCTCTTTGCTGAATTCACCTCTTTTTTTGTTTTCCAGACTACAATGAATAACGGGGGTTTCTAGAGAAGGTTCGACTGGTACAGGAACATGAGAAGAATTAGAACAAAGTATGTCTGCTCATTAACCCTCCTCTCATCCCTTCTATGCCTCTTTGGGCTATTAATAGCAAGGTTTGGCTAAGAGTATAATAAAGGATCAGTGATTTCAACTAGTGACCTGGTGTTGTGTTTGCTCAGTCTTAGGAGGGAAAGTGGAAGAGGGGGTGCTGAGCTCTTCTCCTTGGGATCCAGTGATAGGACAAGAGGAAATGGCCTCAAGTTGTACCAGGGGAGGTTTAGGATGGGTATTAGGAAAAATTTCTTCACCAAAAGGGTTATCAAACACGGGAACAGGCTGCCCAGGGGAGTGGTGACTCTGCCTGGTCACCGTCCCTGGTGTTTAAAAGCTGAGTGGACCTGGTGCTGAGGCACATGGTTTAGTGGTGATTTTGGCAGTGTTAGGTTAATGGTTGGACTTGATAATCCTAAAAGTGTTTTCCAACCTTAACGATCCTAGGATTTTATAATGCATGGGAAAAGTTCAGAGCTGTGCTGTGGGAGGTATAGACAGGACATTGGGAAGCATTTCTTTACCAAGAGGGTGGTCAAACACTGGAACAGGCTCCCTAGGGAGGTGGTTGATGCCCCAAGCCTGACAGTGTTTAAGAGACATTTGGACAATGTCCTTAATAACATCCTTTAACTTCTGGTCAGCCCTGAATCGGTCAGGCAGTTGGACTAGGTGGTTGTTGTAGGTCCCTTCCAAATGTTCTGTTCTATTCTATTCTATTCTATTCTATTCTATTCTATTCTATTCTGCCAGCAGAGGTTTTGCCTGCAGAACTGGGTTCTCTTTATATTCCTAAACAAACAGCTTCAATACGTCGCTGCTCATGCAGAGGGCATCCACCTCAGGTGTATTGGAAACCCATAGAGAGCACGATCCATCAAGCTTACTCTTAACTTCACTCTGTGAAGGAGGATTATCTTTTAAAAATTCATTTTCTAAGGCTTGGTGAATAGAAAAGGGCGTTTCTGGAGGGTGCTTTTCTAGGGAGGAAGCAATAAACTCAGTGTTAAACAATCCCCTGCGCTATTAGACACGTGGGAGCCCACAATCCCACCAGCTGGACCAGCCTACCTGCAGCACAGAAGATTTCCAAGCAAAAGCCGTGTTCGTTTTTATACACACAGCAGGGTCAGTCCAGGGAGGGGAGGAGGAAAAGGGGAAGATGTATGTGCACAATAAAGCAAGATTTGTCTTTGGATGAACCGCAATGCCATCTCCTAGGAATACAGGGGGAATCACAACCTCCCCTCTTTCCTTTTGCTGTCTATGAGATGAGCATCTATGAATGAAGGATTTTGATTTAGCTCTTTTTCCATTTTAAACTACCCATGTCCTATCTCCATCCCTCCCCAAGCCCTCACCCACCTAGGGCACAGCAGTATCTTTGCAAAATGCTCTTTTTTTTGGGGGGGTTGGGGGGGAAATACCCATTTCTTCTCTCCAAAAGCCACTAGAGGGCAATGGCAAACCGAAGGAATATCCCGGGGGGTTATCAGCGGCTGCTGGAGAGGGTTGGAGGGCCGAGGGTGATAACATGGCAGGCTGGCAGCCTTGCCCTCTGTCCTCTGGCAGGAGCACAGATAAGCAGTGACACACAGGAGCTGCGTTTCGCCGCCCTTATCCAGAAGCCCGATTTGCCAACAGATAAATCCTCCCTCGTTCCTGGCGAGCGCGGATGGAAACGAAACCAGCGGCGCTTTCTCCGCTGTAAACCATGGTCTTGCTGGAAAGAAAAGTGGGGAGAGGTGTTTTAAATCCCTGCAAGGAAGAGGGAGGCTTCTGTTGGCCATAAACCTTCCTTTCGGGGTGGGAAGAGGTTGTTAGAGCAGTCCTTTGGCTCAGCTGGGAATGAGCCCTTCCTCCAAGCACTTTGGTGGGATGGAGACATGTGTTACTCTGTCTCTTTGCTGAATTCACCTCTTTTTTTGTTTTCCAGACTACAATGAATAACGGGGGTTTCTAGAGAAGGTTCGACTGGTACAGGAACATGAGAAGAATTAGAACAAAGTATGTCTGCTCATTAACCCTCCTCTCATCCCTTCTATGCCTCTTTGGGCTATTAATAGCAAGGTTTGGCTAAGAGTATAATAAAGGATCAGTGATTTCAACTAGTGACCTGGTGTTGTGTTTGCTCAGTCTTAGGAGGGAAAGTGGAAGAGGGGGTGCTGAGCTCTTCTCCTTGGGATCCAGTGATAGGACAAGAGGAAATGGCCTCAAGTTGTACCAGGGGAGGTTTAGGATGGGTATTAGGAAAAATTTCTTCACCAAAAGGGTTATCAAACACGGGAACAGGCTGCCCAGGGGAGTGGTGACTCTGCCTGGTCACCGTCCCTGGTGTTTAAAAGCTGAGTGGACCTGGTGCTGAGGCACATGGTTTAGTGGTGATTTTGGCAGTGTTAGGTTAATGGTTGGACTTGATAATCCTAAAAGTGTTTTCCAACCTTAACGATCCTAGGATTTTATAATGCATGGGAAAAGTTCAGAGCTGTGCTGTGGGAGGTATAGACAGGACATTGGGAAGCATTTCTTTACCAAGAGGGTGGTCAAACACTGGAACAGGCTCCCTAGGGAGGTGGTTGATGCCCCAAGCCTGACAGTGTTTAAGAGACATTTGGACAATGTCCTTAATAACATCCTTTAACTTCTGGTCAGCCCTGAATCGGTCAGGCAGTTGGACTAGGTGGTTGTTGTAGGTCCCTTCCAAATGTTCTATTCTATTCTATTCTATTCTATTCTATTCTATTCTATTCTATTCTATTCTATTCTGCCAGCAGAGGTTTTGCCTGCAGAACTGGGTTCTCTTTATATTCCTAAACAAACAGCTTCAATACGTCGCTGCTCATGCAGAGGGCATCCACCTCAGGTGTATTGGAAACCCATAGAGAGCACGATCCATCAAGCTTACTCTTAACTTCACTCTGTGAAGGAGGATTATCTTTTAAAAATTCATTTTCTAAGGCTTGGTGAATAGAAAAGGGCATTTCTGGAGGGTGCTTTTCTAGGGAGGAAGCAATAAACTCAGTGTTAAACAATCCCCTGTGCTATTAGACACGTGGGAGCCCACAATCCCACCAGCTGGACCAGCCTACCTGCAGCACAGAAGATTTCCAAGCAAAAGCCGTGTTCGTTTTTATACACACAGCAGGGTCAGTCCAGGGAGGGGAGGAGGAAAAGGGGAAGATGTATGTGCACAATAAAGCAAGATTTGTCTTTGGATGAACCGCAATGCCATCTCCTAGGAATACAGGGGGAATCACAACCTCCCCTCTTTCCTTTTGCTGTCTATGAGATGAGCATCTATGAATGAAGGATTTTGATTTAGCTCTTTTTCCATTTTAAACTACCCATGTCCTATCTCCATCCCTCCCCAAGCCCTCACCCACCTAGGGCACAGCAGTATCTTTGCAAAATGCTCTTTTTTTTTGGGGGGGGAGGGAGAAAAATGGTGAAGGAGGATTATCTTTTAAAAATTCATTTTCTAAGGCTTGGTGAATAGAAAAGGGCATTTCTGGAGGGTGCTTTTCTAGGGAGGAAGCAATAAACTCAGTGTTAAACAATCCCCTGTGCTATTAGACACGTGGGAGCCCACAATCCCACCAGCTGGACCAGCCTACCTGCAGCACAGAAGATTTCCAAGTAAAAGCCGTGTTCGTTTTTATACACACAGCAGGGTCAGTCCAGGGAGGGGAGGAGGAAAAGGGGAAGATGTATGTGCACAATAAAGCAAGATTTGTCTTTGGATGAACCGCAATGCCATCTCCTAGGAATACAGGGGGAATCACAACCTCCCCTCTTTCCTTTTGCTGTCTATGAGATGAGCATCTATGAATGAAGGATTTTGATTTAGCTCTTTTTCCATTTTAAACTACCCATGTCCTATCTCCATCCCTCCCCAAGCCCTCACCCACCTAGGGCACAGCAGTATCTTTGCAAAATGCTCTTTTTTTTGGGGGGGTTGGGGGGGAAATACCCATTTCTTCTCTCCAAAAGCCACTAGAGGGCAATGGCAAACCGAAGGAATATCCCGGGGGGTTATCAGCGGCTGCTGGAGAGGGTTGGAGGGCCGAGGGTGATAACATGGCAGGCTGGCAGCCTTGCCCTCTGTCCTCTGGCAGGAGCACAGATAAGCAGTGACACACAGGAGCTGCGTTTCGCCGCCCTTATCCAGAAGCCCGATTTGCCAACAGATAAATCCTCCCTCGTTCCTGGCGAGCGCGGATGGAAACGAAACCAGTAAGGCTTGGAAAGGAGTGGAAGTCCCAGGCTGTATTTTTAGCTCTCTGCTTCGCTGGGCTGCCCTTGGCCTGGGTGCTCTGCAGCTTGGCGATTCTCCTCTTCTGACAAGTTAAAAAAACCCCAAGTCTCAGCTTATCCTTAATATTACTGATTTTTTTTTCCTCGCTCCTTGTAAGAGAGGATGTCTCATTTCTGCTGCAGTGTGAAGTTCAAATATTTAACTTCTGTTAGGCTCAGAGCAGGAGTAACGTCCCTTAGAAGTTCACTTTGGAGCCAAGTGACAGGAGCACGCTGGCATCTGAGATCTTGGCCTGACTTTTTATTCAAACATTTCCCTTTTAGTTTCAAAAGGAATTAAAAAGACATGGATCAAAGCCTTTAGGAAATTATATTTTTAAAGGGAGCCCCTTAAACCCCTTCTAAGCATTACTCAGATGGTGAAAAGTGCAGTATGAGGGTGCCTGGTGGTTTTGCAATGCCTGGGGGGAGTTTCACCGTGTGTGCATGAGCCATGGGGGGATCTGGGGATGTCACACAGGGTCCCAAACTCTCACCATCCCTGGCCTGGGCTGAGTAAAGCTGGGAACCATCATTGATGTTTCTGCTCCCTGGGCCAAAAGCACTCCCAGGACTGCATTAGCAATTTAATGAGCATGCACGTGCCTTGCCACAACCCAAACCACCCCAGCCATCTCCTGTTCATCCCCTGACACGGTGAC